GGTCAAATTTAAGCTCAAGTAAACCATGGAGCTGAAATCCATCACGTCTGTGTCCATTCATCAAACTCTGATTGACACTGTTGCTTCTGCGCAACTCTGATTGTGTGAACAGAATGGGTCATTGGCTTAAGCCAAAGTTTAATTTGATGCGTAACATTTTGTTATCAATGTGGATTTGATGGAACCAACCAGATTTATTTTCCACTAAATTTCATACCCCCTGCTTAGAGTTATAATGTGCTCCGCCCCTAATAAATAGAATATGTGATTGATGACGTAAAAGTAATATAAACAAACCATATTATAGTGATTTACATCTGCTGATTTAGATAATAACAGTGTAGCTATGTCCAATTTATTCATACAGCATGCATCCATCAGCGGTGTGTCACCGCCCTGTAACATAATATACCATATGGCGTTACAAACTGTGAGTTTGGTTGAACTTATTATTTGGTGATTATGTATATTTATGAAATATTTACAAAATACTCAAGGCTTTGCTCAAAACCATAATTAACAGAATGCTAGTTGAGGAAAAATGGAGATAAACAAGTCATGAATGACACTGCCTTCGCTTGTTGTCATTTGAAAGTTGCATGGACATAAATTGGCATTTTCAAGTTTATAGCACTCTCCATCCGGGTCAGCATTATTCTCAGCAAAAAAACCAGATAGCGACAAACCAGTACAACAGGTAAAATGACAAGGAAGTATACAAATCAGATCTGCAAATATGTAAAAGAGAGTGTTGTGTCTGTTTGGATAAACTAGTTTGTGGCCCTGAATTAGTTTCAATATATCTAATAAGGACAAGAGTACTTCTCATATGACAATGATTCAAATAAAGTGCAAGAATCCTGAAAAATATTAATTATCAAGTTTTTATTATCATACATTAATATTAACAAATCGTGTGAATTTTTATGTACAGAGAAACACGTATTTATGCTTTGGTTGACAACACTTTTCAAAGTAAAAAAAAGAGGACCTGCGAAACTGTATACAATTGTCAGACACGCAGCAAATAGTATGTTTTTGTAATACATGCAGTTCCAGTGGCTTTGCTTTCTGAGAAAAAAATTCTGGCTCTGCACCTGCAAAAAAACCATTTAGTCCAAAGTAAGCAGAGGTTGTAGCATATGTGCTCCCATTAGCTGGTAATTTTAATCAAAAAAGATGTTTGAGTACGAAAAAATATTACTTAATATATTTATACCAGCCAGAAAGAAATTGCAGTTCATTCTGCGCTATTTTAAACATGTCTAGTCTAGGATGACTAATTCACAGTCTGTTACCACTCCACAAAGTTGTCAAATTAATATTCACGAGATTCTGCAAAAAAAATATTAAGAATGTGCAAAAAGCCAGAGTACTTGTGTTTTCAATGTCATTAAAATCTGACCAGGGATATGCAGAAAATTTCACTAAAGCTGAACTAAATGGATGCCAAGATATCTAAAGAAATAAAAAAATACTATTGAGAAAAAAACAAAAAATTACTACATTTAATATAAATGCAGATAGAATTGCATAAAAA